GGGGGCGGGAGAGAGGAGATTGGGGGACTCTAGCTGCTGACTATCGAGCAACACAATGTATATCGGTCAACGCCACGGGGCCAAGAGAAAAGAACCAATTATTTGTCTTCAATCAATAATAACCATTCGTGTAAAAAGCTGGCATGGCATATGGTATCCTCTAAACACAGTCTGCACTCCACTAGCTCACCTTGTATTTTTTTTTTGTTACCATTAGTTTTGCTTTCGTAAATTAAACAACAAAAAAACTCTTAAGCTACGGCAAGTTTCGAGAGGCGTGTCGAGCGAGCTTGTGTTTACGTCTTTCTCAACTGACAGTTAAATGCACGGCCACGTGAGGACTACGAACGGCCACGTGGACCTCCTAGCCGAGGTAAGCCTAGTAGCTCACGTGGCTGCTTCTAGTAGAGCTTTTCTTTATTTATCCTTTTAAACCTGTGAAAATTATCGTTCACGTCTCGTTCTTCGCTTTTGTTCTCCAATTTGCTCCCACGGAGAATCGGAGCTCAATCGTTGAAAAAAAAAAAAAAAAAAAAAAAAAAAAAAAAAAAAAAAAAAAAAGAAAAAGAGGTTACGATCGATAACACTCGACACTCCGTTCGCACTTGCTCTAATGTAACGCAGCACTTGGGCTACACCGATAACGCCGTCACAATAGTTACAGTCATTAGTAAAGAATACATAGCGGGAGTTTGGAAAAAATTATTTGCGATGCGCTTTGTGCAGACGTTCCGACTTAACGAATCCGACGTTTGGATCCCGTCTTTAAATCTAATTTGTAAGTTTTCGGCATTGCGCGTGTAGCACTGCTGCGAGTACATCGGTCTTTTTTTTTCTTTTAATTTTTTTTTAATTTTTTTTTTTTTTTTAACCGACCGGTCATCTCGATCAAGAGTTGTATGCGCGAACGGCGAGCGACGCGCGTTAAAAGAATTTAGATGAGAACGAAGTAGTGGAAGCTTAGAGAAAGTAGGCTTCGCTCGCGCGCGTCTTTTTAAAAGATGCTCTATCGACTGTAGATTGCGTTGACGTAAAAAATTATGCACTCGTAAAGTGCACGTTTCGTTTCTCGAACTTTAACGTTTATCCGCGACAAATGCTAACCGATACTCTTTACGAACGTCATTCGCCACGTCGGATCCTCTCGATCGAGAACGCCTCGCGCTTGGAAGAAGCGACACTTCGGATTAGCTTTGTGACTCTTCGATTAGCCTTGTGGCCTCTTCGCATAGCTCTCTGAGTGTTTTGTCAAAGGTGTATAAATATGTATTGTCTTTACGAAACTCTAGTATATTTTAAGCGCGCGTAACAGGCGCCTTACGCGCTCTATGGAATCAGTGAATAATGACACCCTTGGTGCGACACATTGGAAAGCTCGAAAAACTCGAGATAAACGAGACAATAAACAAGAAATACGGTTCACCGATAGATAGAACGCTCGCGAGTAACCCGATAGTTTCCAATGATTTTTCTTGTAAAAGAAAAAAAAAAATAAAATAAAAATAAAAAAAAAGAAAGAATAAACGAAAACAAGAAGGAAATAATAGAAAAAGGAAAACACGTCAGTTCGTATTTCCATTGTTTCGGCTACTCGATTAAACGGTAAGTAGCTTCTTGTTCCCAAGTTATCGGGTGTGATAGTTGCAACAGTTAGATGAGGTTCATATCTGACCTGCTTCGCTGTCACTCGAATCGCTGGTGCTTGACGATAGTGAACTACTGCTGGAGTCACTGTCACTGCTACTACTGCTTGAAGCTGAGAGCCGCGACGGTCCGCTCGCTCCTCCGGTTCCCACCACGTCGACCGATTTACTATTGTCCTCTGCAAATCCAACAATAGCGGTATAGACACAGGAAAAGGCTTTAATAATGATTAATCGCAATCATCGTAACAATCGTCACTTTCATAGATAATGCATTGTTATTGTTTCTACGTCATTTGTACTTCAATACGATTTTCAGATTCTTACCTTTCTTAGCAGGTTTCTTGACGTTGCCTAGCTGCCCCGTCACATCTTGCAATCTCTTCTCGAGTTCCTGCTTCTTCTCCGCTATCTGCTCGTCTTTCGACTTACCGCTCACTTTCTTGTCTGGGAATATTAGACGTTTAAGATTAATAGAGATCCTTATATACTTTTTCGTTGTATCACGTTTATCTAAACAGGAGACAGAGGGAGATTGCACTAATTCTTCGAACACACTGCAACTATCGTATTCTGTTGAGACACAGCCAAGTTATGAGAGAATTCTTATATAATAATTCTGAGATAAATAGACGATTGCGACCATGAAAAATTTTACGACAGTTTTCAAAGCTTTGATTTCAACATTTTTTTTTTAAGTGAAAGCGACATAAGTATACTCATTGAGTTATGCTTTACTTAGAAAATGAATATACGTGTACACTATAAATTTGTATACAATAGTATACACGTAAATACATAATTAAATAATTCTATTCGGCAACATCAACCGAGGACGATCCGCTCAATTCGCGTAGTTATTAAACACGAGAAAATGTGCAAACATATTGGACGAAGAATTCGTGAGTCAAAAGGTAAGGCGTCAAACTTATCAACTCATTAAACTCTTTATGATCAATCATCATGATAATGTATATTGCACGGCACGAGGAAGAAAAAAAAAGAAAGTGAAACAAGCTACCAGAGGGATAATCTTCCTGCGTGATGCTGCGAGATATAATTTACGGTAAAGCTTACGTGGTTTTTTTCTGAGGCACGAAGCTACGTAGCTTTCCAGCTCTCGAAGGGTAGATGGCTTCAGGGTCTCGAAATCAATTTCGATTTCATCAGGGTTGGAGTCTCTGAGCGAGGGCTCGCGCGATTGAATAATGTGCACAACGCGACCCAATTTATCACCTTGAAAAAGAAAGACGGCAGGAAATAATAATCAGAGAGATCATTTAAAAGACGTCTTGAAATTTTTTGGAGTCTTCTCCTCGAAGATGCTTACCCGGTAGTTTGTTGATATCCAAACTAAGCTGTCTCTTCTCGTCGTAGGACATGGGCTTGGCATTGTCCTCGTCCTCCGACTCGAAGGTCACAGGAGGTGGCTGACTACTTGTATTTTTCTTTTTGTTTCCAGCCGACCTGCTATTCGCCTTGGGCCTCTTATTCGCCGCATTGGTGGCCGCAGTTTTTCCAATTCCGCGATTAGCTTTGCCTTTCGGTTTCGCATTCGCAGCTGGAGGAAGGTGATGGCCCATACCGGAGGCCGGATGACCCTTATTTGGACCAACCGCTATTGCCGGATGATGAAGATCTCCACCCATGCCTCCAGGCATCTTGAGATCACCAGCACCCATCGCCACGCTTGCTATACTAGCAACAACGCTATCGGACACGTTTGGAATTCCGCCGCTTGGCTTCATAAGCTCTTTCATGGCACCACTGTGACTACCGACAAGACCGGCACTTTTATTGCTCATCGGTTTTGGCTTCGCCTTGTCCGGTTTCTTCTTTTTACTCTTTTTCTTCCCACTTTCCTCGACCAACTTCCTCATTTGTTCCTGCATAGCTTTCAACTGTGAAGAAAATTTACAGAATATTCTCATTCGACAATCCCTTAATTCTCTCTTATTATTTTCCCAGCCCACAGTCCTTAAGGATATTCCTCAGTTTTATCGCATTGTACTTTCTCACGTTATTAACGATTATTGTGAGGGTATTATTAATAATTTGTGGTGGGATGAAGTATAACGGGCGTACATCAATGTTACACGTTACCTCTTGCTGCAGGGCAACCAATTTTTGAGTGCGTTCCTCCTCAGAGTCGTCACTCTCGGAAGAACTCTCGGAACCAGAACTGCTGCCACTGCTACTGCTACCTTTCGGTCCGAGCATTGGCTCGTCAGGTATCTTAGCGTACCTAAGAAATCCATTTATTCGAAATCATCATGAATGCTACTTTGAAGTCTAAGGAAAACGTAAATTCCTCGTGAAATACACACCTCATTTCGAAGACATCTTGAAGCTTTCTTGCCATTGTAACTACGTCGTGATCAGGGGGATTATATTTATAGCAATTAGTGAATATGAGTCGGACGTCACTCGCAAATTCTAGAGCCGTCTTATACTCGCGGCTGTCCATTTTCGTCTAATAAGAAAACGATCGTTTTAAAGTATGTCCTCTCTACACGCCATGATGCATCTCTAATACAAAACCTTATGCGAAACTGACCTTTACAGTTCCAAGGTCCATAGGCTTCTTGATAATGTCATGGTAATCGTGAAGGCCGAGAAGCTCTGCGTCCACTGGTTTGTAGAAGGGCCATGCGTAACCCTGTTAATCATACGCGGCATCAATAGTATTGTTCTATTGTAATAAGAAGTACATAAACAAAGACACCGAGGAGGTACTGCTAAAGATGCTAATTACAGAAAATGATATTTTAGTAATAAACACTTTCGAATAACTTGAACGTTATTTAATGAAATTCATTATAGCATGATTTAGCTGTGCGAAATCGGCAATGAGATAAAAAAGATAATATAAATTACAAAATTCAGGATTTACGGTTACACTGTGCCTTGTGTATTAGTAAATATTTTAACAGAATTACGCTTCAAGCCAGTAAGTGAGAGAACGTTTTAAAAACATGGATTCTTTCAATTATACTTCCTCGGTGACAAAAATGAATCTTTGACAACAATTACCGAATGCTTTTTGGAGAATAGCTCTTTGAGAATTTCGTTACAGGATTTTAGCGCTTCGGACAGCTTCTCCTTCGATTTGCCGCCTGGGTGCTGAGGCTGAAAAATTAAGATGACTTTACAGAAGAGCAGCCTAAAAGAATGTTCGTAGGACTTCCTTCCTGAAGATACTAAACGTTCAGGCACGAGAAACAGCGCAAACATAATTACATTTAATACCAACTACGAAAACGTAAGCCTCTTGATTAAGAGACGTGTAAATAAAAGTTTAATAAACATATTTTAAAAAAAAAACTGAAATCTGTGTAGTCTACTCGAAACACGAAACGAAAGTAACTCAGGATCGAAAGGCGGGACAATTGACAAGACAAGACAAATGAAACATGGCGCGCCTGAGACGATTAATAGTAAATGTACCTGTTGAGCCATGGCCCCGATGAGGGGCATGTTGGCTTGGTGAAATGGCACAAGGCCGTCTTCCGCTTGCCTCGTTGGCTGAAACAGCCCCATCATCAACCCTCTGTTAGTACGTTAATACAATGATATGATAACGCAGACACACACAAGGACGTCGAACGTATATGATGTTATGAGGTTCGTATAAACGAATGATATTTTGGAAAATTCGATAATCACCCGAAGGTTTCTGGTACCAAATGGCTAGTGGGGCATGTACTTTGCAAGACAAAAACACAATAGAGGGAACTTGGTCGCAGCCAAGAGACTGCAATTGGTACCTTCTTTATCTGTCTGCCGGATTCTCGTCTCGTAGGTATTTTGGCATTCTTCGAGTCGAGCGGAGGGTAAAGCGGCTCGAATGAATTGGCGGTGGGCGTCGTGGTATCAGCCTTTCTCTTCACTCCTTTCTTGAGCTTGGCCGGCTGCGAAGGAGGCATTACGGTGGGTGCAGTCGGAACTTGGGGCGGAGGAGGCACAGCGGACGCAGCCTGAGGATCCATAGCGGGCTGCGCGTGATATCCGCTACCCGGAGGAATCACCTGCTGTGGCAGGGAGTTGTGTGTGGCCATCGGCGCTACACCGATACTTGACGGAGGTGCGATTGTGGTTGTGTTCGTGCTTCCCGGTACGGAAGCAGGCGCCTGAGTTCCCAGAGGCGGCATCGGTATGACCCCCGTCGTTCCAGCCGAGGTCGCCGATGGGGTTAAACTGTTCGGCACGCTCGAGCTTACGGCAGCGGTTACCGAGGAAGGGCGACCACGTCCGGCATTTCCAGGACCGCCAGCACTGACGCCAGTACTACCGGTACTGCCTCCGCTAGCTACAGCAACAACAGTCCCTACTCCAGGACCAGGTGCAGCTCCCGTTACAGCCCCAGCAGCGGCCGCAGCCGTACCAACGACTCCTGCCGATACCGTAGCACCTGCAAGTCTGCCTGCCGCCATTTTCTTTCCTTTGGGTCCTTTCGGCACTGGCGGATCCAGCTCCACTTCCTCTTTCGGCATTTGCGCAACCTGTATCAATCATTCTCTCTAGTTATCCTGCGAGAGCTTGTATTTCTCTTTTTACATTACCTTCGTCAGGAACAGCTTCTCGAGAGCTTGAGCCATCACTACTACATCCTCCCCTGGTTTGTTGTAAACGTAGCAATTGGTGAACATGGTATTGAAATCCTGGATACATTCTCTGCCGCTCCAGTAATAGGTGTTCTCCAAGCGCTTCTTGATTGTACCAAGGTCCATCGGCTGTTTGATGATTTTGTGGTAATCCTGCAACGAAGTGTACGGTGAGTATCATACATTTTTAATGACAATAAAATATTCCAATTAATTGTAAATTCAGCCTAGGAAACCTACTGGCAAATTGAGTTTCTTCGCGTCGACGGGCTGCTGAAAGGGCCAGGAAAATTGGTGCTTCCATACTGGTTTGAGTACGCCCTTTTGCAGGAACTGTAGCTGATTGGTTACACGGCCTGGCCGAGTTGGTGGTGGAACGACCGGTGGTTGAACAACACCGTTCACTGGCTCTACGGGTGGCTCTTCTCGTGGAGGAGGCTCCCTCGCAGGTACAGTTGGCGTGCTCGATGCCTTACCAGGTGCACTCGTCTGCATTTATTTTCACAACAGACATTAGAAACGAATAAATTTACCTCCTATTCTTCTCGCTCAATTTCTTACATACTCTCAATGCAAAATCATTCACTCTCTCAGTCATATCCGATTTCAAGACATTTCGATCTATTTAATATCCCTAAATAATATCGTTTCAGCAATAAGTGATTACTACTTGAATACTCGAAGAAAGGATTACAATGTCAATTAAGCCTTAACGAAAAAAAATTACATCTACAATACTGCTAGCATTTGCCTCCTAAGGAAAACGAATTAAACAGCGTTAACAAGAATGACGTACAATTATAAAGCAATTGATCAATATAAATTCAACGTTGCAGTCAGTTTCGCAAGAACCATCAACTTGTCACAAGGACGATAGAAAGAAGTTCCATAAAATTCGATGGTTTCCAATTTACTGCCATCAGAGGATATTCTAAAGCTGATATCGTTAAAAATGATCAAAATTATTAATCTGAATCATCATGGCGATACGTGCAAGAATAACTAACTTCGGTTAACTCCTTCATGCATCGAGCGAATGAGGCTGCTAAATGTTCAGAGTTTTATAACGACAAAGTAAAGCAATTTTCAATGTGGCCCGGACGTCCTCAAGCCTGGTCCATGACAATTGCTACAATGTCCAACGAGAAGAGCTCAAATAGCAAGATCCAAGAGAATAGCGACGCCTTGGGGCAACTTTTGATTCCAAACCGAAAGCCAATGATTCTCAGTATTTGAGCCGTCCTCGTTTAAATGGTAATCCCAGTAAAAAAAAAATATAACAAAAGAGCAGAGAGTATTTCGTCAACTAACATATAGACTGTAAGAAAAATCTGCTCATGCTTGAATAAAAAGTATCGAGAACCGATTTAATCGAACGTACAGAACGGAAGTAATCTATTCGGAAGAGTAGTCAACGGGGAATCTCACCTTCGGTATATTACACAGCCTTTCTCGCTCCTCCACATCTAACTGCAATTCATACGTACTATTCAGTCAGATAGCGCGGACATTATTAACAAAACGACAGGGAATCCTAAGTTACAGTACCGAGCGGTAGTAATTAAAGGAGGACAGGTAGGGGGTTATGAAAAAAGAATAAAAGATATAGAGAGGAGAAAGACAATATTTGCAAAAACAAACTTCAACAATGACTCGGTAGCACTCGCAAAAATGTCCGTTAGCGCACGTTTCTGCGAATGCAACAATAAAACTACCTCTAAAGGGAAACTGTATATGGAGATAGTACTAAGCAAGAGATAAATCGCGTTAAATGATCTGAGGGTAGAAAAGAGAAGAAGAAGAAGAAGAAGAAGAAGAAGGAGAGAGTGAGAATTAACGTACTAAAGAGATTAAGTTAATCTATGACTATGCGATATACAAAGGGTGAGTGATAGTTTCATGAAACAATGCAGCTTCGAAGAAGTTATATGCATCAAAGTTAACGATTGGTCCAACGTAATCCATTCTTGATCATCCTGGTAGAACTGTTACCAGTAGGAGCTTTCTGATGCCTACGGTCGGTAGAGCCCATACTCACCGAGTTATTCTGCGTGATAGTATCCACCTGCTGCATCTTGGCTTCGCTTCTGTAACAGAAAAAGTAGCCAATTAATATAGAGTCGGTTATCTCGTGGTTCAATTCACATGTGCAATATCGAAAGAATTGGAATGCATTCGCCGTGATACGTTACGCCTCTGACCTTACTGCCAGTTCGAGTGACCTCGAAAGGCTGAAGAGGCAGTGAAAAGTCCTTGAAATATTAATAAACGAGGGAAAGTGTTCCTAGTTTAGGCGCACATTTTCGACTTCTCGCCACACATGAATTGCAACGGCGTAAAACAGGTAAACGATGAGAGATCACTGTTCCGCGAGTGTGTACTTCACCTACCTTTCCGACATATATGGTACATAAATGCTACGCAGCAGGTAACTGCCTTACGTCGGTGCTTGACGCTACGAGGCTTCATCAACAACCGAGCTGGCAAGGATATACTCTGAACTGAGCATTGTAGCTCCCTAATTGCTTGCCGAGACGACTGGGCTGCGACCTGGGAGATCGGTGCCGAGGTGGCATAACACTACTCAAGCCTACCGAACGGTAGTAGCTCGAATGTCAGCCTTGTATGCTGCTGCAATTCGCCGTGCCTCCAGCCAAGACTCGCGATTCTAGCAACATCTGGATAACATAACAACAGGTCCCCATGTTTGTAACAACCCCAACATTACTTCTTTGCCTTAGGGCGTAATCAAAGAGCGTCGAGGTTACTTTCGACAAACTTACATGTCTACGTGATTATTATCAAAAGGCATCATGCAGATGGCGATTTTGAGTTTTTTATATATATATTTATATTGTCTGACTACGTCATAAAATCCGTGCTTGGCAAGGGAAACCTCTTTGTGGCCTAGAGCCTTCGATCCCACAAGGTGAACATTCACGAGGTATCTCCTGCAACCGTACGGTCTTATTGCAGTCAATCCCAACGATTCATCATGAGTTTATGTTTTGGTGCAAATTTGGACAACGTGTGAGTAACGCTAGTCTAGCAGGAATCGTGAAGGAGTGAAGTTTGGATGTTTTACGTAGGAGTCTCTCCGCCACGTGGGAACCTGGGAACAAATGTTACACTGCTACCGTTATGTTATTGGAAATAAGCTGGAACATACACCAAATATAAGACACAGGATAGATAAGAGAGCATAGAGAATACATGGAGGGTCGTTGGTCGCTTAGGAGGAACATTCAAAAAAATAGCGGCGACGGCGGCGACAACGAGAACAGCCATGGCGGAAGGACTCGAGGCGAAATCGAAAAACTTGACACGGTGGACAGTTTAACGTGCGAGAGCTGCATCCGTTAATACAAAGTATGAAACGAATGCAGTTGAACGAATCAGTAAAGAAATGATGCTAGTTGGACAAATAGAAGCAAGGGCAATGAATGCATAGAAATAGAGGGGTTAGGAGAACGATAAGGATGAAGATGAATATGAGGAGTCGGAACTGAAGTCGAAGTCGAAGATGGAAGTGGAGGTGGTAGCGAAGGATGGCGATGTCGAGGGGAAGAGTAACGCACGCGCGCGCGCTCGCGCTCGCACGCACCTACACCAGAAAAGTGGGGAAAGAGAAGCAGAGGTACAGAAAGAGAGAGAGTGAACAAGAGAGAGAAGTGGAAGGGGAGACAGAGAGAGAAAGAGAGAGAGAATGAGAGAGGCAGAGTGAGAGAAAGAGACCCGCGCCCAGCCGATGCACCCGACGCACAACAAACACGAGGAACGCGCTCAGAGAACCTAGCCGAGACTCAAGCACTTCCAAATTCTTAGCGTTTCACGCTTGGATATTCGCGTTTCGCTGAGAATCCGGAACGCCTTCTCGGTCGCTCGAATTGGCGTAGGTTTCATTCAACATGGCGGTTCGGCCGCTCGGGAAAGAAAGCTCCCAAGGGCCCGCCGATATATCTGCCACTTACGCACCAGCAAGGCACACATCACATGATATTTCTATCACTAAACGAACCCAACAACTTTAGGATTACTCGCAATCACTTACCTGATCACTGGAGGTCCACTTTCCACGAGAATTCAAGCAAAAACACTACCACTACGCCTCGAACACTCGCACTACGCTTTCTCCCTGCTCGCTAGTTTGGTTGGTCGGTCGGTGTTATGGCCGCCGCCGAGTGCCCCACCGTGTCACTCACTCACTCTCACTCGCGCGAGCGCGAGCGCTTAGTTCGCATACGCGACGAACGAACGCGGCCCCCGACCACTCGCTCAATTACGAATATCAATGTCCTTCTTACACCTCAACACCGTATCAGTGCTCAGCGTTACAGTCCATCGACATTTTCCTTTGGCTGCGCGGTGTCGGATGGCTTTCCGTGCCCATGACGATCTCGGATCTAGAAACTAACGATCGCAGCACCAACAATGGCTACGCATTCTTCCGCGACGTACCGAATGGTCCCGTTCCTCCGTTCCTCTTCGTTGTCGCCCCTTGTTTTCCCCACCTCCTTCTCCATTCACCTTTCACAGTACGAAGCAACCCGAACACACCCGAAAATTTTACCGCCAAATTTGAAGCATGCATACTTCTTCATTCAGTTGATCTTTCGTCGAATAAAGAATTTCTTTATTAATTTTTATTGTTCGTGTAGACGATCTGACACCATTAACATTCGTATCACTAACGTTGAAACGTTTTTTTTCCGGTCGTTTATTCTTTGCGTCTGATATATACTTATAAATTTATATTGAAACAGCGACGAATAGAGTGTAGAAACCTTGTTAGAGACACAGGGAATGGATTTACTGCTGCAAAATAATAGATTAATGTATTTACAATAAAATAACATATTTTATTGGAGGATGAAAAACAGTCTATGGTTAAATTCCAATCGACAACTGTAAGGTACACACTTTGTTTAATTGTTGTAAGTTTGGTAACTGAAGCAAAATTCAATCATGCTGGATCGACATTTCAATTCCGTATAAACGATCAGATGTCTAGAGTGTTCGCCGCGCAAACTGCAGTCCGATTCCTCCATTCCGCCGTTACGGGCGTTACCCACAATGCACTATGCGATGATGTAGTAAAATCCATAACTACTCGGGGCATCAGTAACTTCGTTAATAAATTATCATAAGTGATATTTAAAATAATATTACGATTTATGAAACTCATTTTGGCTAACCATTTTTTAATTCGTATTTAATCGTTTTACGTTGTCACGCCATCGTCGTATGCCAAGTTCCGTTAGACAGCTAAGATGGCGACCACAAAACCACTGGCATTATACACCAAAAACAATTAATTTAGAAAAGCATCAGTCATACATATAATTTTGTTTGTCCGTAATTTTTTTTCAAATTTTATATCGTCTAGTATTACTTTGTTGTTGGTCAATTCTTATGTCAAGATTCGCTAGTATCGATAAACGGCAGAAGTTGCTGTCGTTGCATTGGACAGCCATATTCTTTTCCGATGACACGACAATACTCTGGAGTCAAAACAGCACTCAAACTACACACTGGCCACATCACGAAATTCACGAACGTTCCATTACAGATTGCATTAATTTTTTAAATAAATATTACAGCAAGAATAATATAGCACGTCACTTTTGAGCATTATTAGTACACACGCAATCTGCTCGTGAACACGTCAATTTAGGAAGAAAGATGGCGGTCATCGAGTGTTAGACGCGATGATATTATATGATTATTCTCCCATTAGTATAATTTTCACAATAGATCCATTTTTTAAATCACGGAACTACAAATTTTATAAGAGGCAGTTGGTACGCACTGTTATTGAACTCGATAAACCACTCTACTGCGATAAGCCTACCAGCAGCTCTCGCATAAACGGCCATTTTGTGTTTTGATGACGTAATGAAATTTGTGAGCTATGAAGGAAGTTCAGTAACCTTCCACGCTTGAATTTGGAATACATTGATTCTATATAAAATTAGCAAACTTTTTCAGTGGAATTCATCTTTTTAATAAGAGAACTAAATGAATTTCTTTGAAACTAATACTAATGTTAATGAGATCTCAAAATAAAACGATAACAGGTTTTTTTTTCTTACATTTAATAATTCATTGCTTATGATATATTTACAAACTATTACTTTTTACAGATTTATTTTATGTATGAAAAAAAAAACTAATTTGTTAATTACAGTTGATAAATGTATTGTTTGCTTACATAATGTTATTTCAATAAAAAATGGTATTCAAATAAGTATAAAATTTATTTAAACTATTCCCCACACTTCTTCAAAAGCTGTACACAATTTACTACACGTCAAAGCACCTGATAGCGGGTAGTTACTAATTGAAATGGTGTCTTCAGCATAATCTGGATTTACCTAAAAATATTATTCTTAATTAATTTTCAAATTTAGGATACCCAATTTTTATATTCCATCCGATACTAAATGCTTAGATGTACTTACTGCTCCATGTGCCATTGCACCAACGACAATTGCAATTGGTTCATCCTTTAGAACAAGTTCTCTAGGATTTTGAACACGGTTTGCACTAAATGACATAGCAATTTTAGGGCATCCCACTGGCAAGTGATCTGTTACAGGATTTCTAATTACTTTTAGTAATTTCATAGGTCCATCTGATGCTCTCACACTGAATTTATGAAGTAGTTGGACTATAATAATAGAACAAATGTAATTTAAAAAACTCTCAGAACAATACAATACTGCTAATCATTTATCTATATATAAAATAATCACCCATAAGTCCAGCAAACCGTTTAAATGTCCTCGGTATTCTTGTTTGAGGATTCACTTCAATTAAAACATTTTTTTCTGTATGAATGTAAACTTGTAGTAAACCAGCTCTATTCAGTGGACTGTCCATGAGCATTAATAAACATTGGTGAGCTATATCTGGTCTGCATGTACCAGGATCTCTGTTGTTCTTCTTAAGAATACCAACATGATCATCGGAATTCAATAATTCAAAACTGTTTCCCACCTATAATAAAAATAAAGTATTAAAAAAATGTATTTTTTTTTACATCTATCGTTCCACCTAAATTAGGGAAATAGAATTGAATTTTACCTTCACAGATTCTAGTTGTGCCTGATCCAAAATGATGATAAGACGTTTCTCTTGGTTCTTTATGTGAGCAATCTGAAGGTGTTTTGGAGATGGATCAAATTCATGCTCATCTTGCTCCTCAAGATTTTTTCTTTTCTTTCCCATAACTTCCAACTATTTAGATACAATTTCGTTAAATACTAAAACCGCTTCTTTCCTTCTGCTTGCAACTTATTATTCTCGTTCCACAACAGCAGCGAAGTAAATACTAGAAGCACGTGTGTCGTTATGGGCAGTTATGGGTTAGAGTGTACGGTGAGGAGTTGCTGTTCTGAGTAACAAATTTTTCAACTACATATCTGCTGCGGGTACTTTTGGAATGCTATCCAATAGATGTTAATGGAAGGAAATAAAATAAAAAATTAACAGAGTTGATATTAACAACTTGAATGATCAAAACACATAATGATTAAGAAATTATTGCATTACTCATACATTTAAGAAACTTTATTTGCGATAATCCTTAGTACAGCAACCGTGCTTATCGACAGGTAATTCGGATATTGCAATCCACAGAGACGAGTAGGGTGATCAAGGGAGATGCACAACGCTACAGTTTTAGGCTTCTCTGCAATTCATTTCAGAAAGGTATATCAGGGTACATTTTTATTACGCGACTATTTGGTGCTATACGAGTGCAACACGTGGGTTTATCCGTGGTTTCTACTCTTGACATAAATAAAATAGGAACAGAAAATATCACAAATTACTGTAAAAATGATGAAAACAGACATAATGAAACTTGCGGATCAAGCAAAGATGCACGAGAATGTATTAACTGTAATGGCTACAGTGGATACAGGTATACATTAATCGATGTTTTATTTATGTAAATTTTGTTCATATGAATATAATCGTCGATATACATTTCTCAGGATTCGAATGGATGGCTGTTGACGAGTACAAGGAGAAGCTAGGTTCAAATGCACAATATGTGAAAGAACGAGGCAGAATATACTTTAATCTGAGGCAGAAGGATTTCTCAAAAGTATATAAACGTCTTCAGATATTATCCTTAATTGAAGACAGTTTGCCTACATCACTATTGCATGACACACCAGGTCCAAGACATGAGGTCCATTGACAACGTCTACATAGTCGCTGATGCGAGCTGGCTGCCATTTTCTGGGATTATGAAAGGAAGCGAATTAGACTCGGACCTGGAAATCATAAGAAAATTTGCCAAGGAAAAGATATCTTTAAGAAGGGCCTTGGATGCATGGAAAGAAATTGTAAACTTTCATGGAATAATGTATCCTTCCCTAAGGGAATATCAGGACTCCGATTTAGCACTTCAAAGACCTAAGAGTCCTGTCCATTGTGCTAGAACAAAAAAACGTGGTCTTGATCCATCCTCGGCTTCTAAGGAGTCTCTATTGAGGTTTCGAGTAACTTGTGAAAGGACAGGTTCACACTCATTCGAATCACAGGATGTAGCAAGAATCGTAGGTGGAGAATTGCAAGATACATTCAATTGGATCGTAGATCTGGTGCAATACCATCTACAAATAGTTTGCCATGTCAAATTAGGTATTCTGTCAACAGACACATGCTTACAGGAATTATCAATAAAAACTAGAATAATGAATAATATTCTATTATTATAGGTGAGATTATTACAAGTTTACGTGTTACCCATGAGTCTAAGCATCGTAGAAACATTCAGTTTTATGGGCCCACCACTCTACGTTCAACTATATGCTACAGTCTAATTAGATTAGCCAGTCCATTACCTGGGGACATTATAATCGACCCTATGTGCGGTGGAGGATCAATTCCTCTAGAGGTTTGCCTCAAAAGAATCTACTTTGAATTTCATTTAGTTTTTCATATTTTGGCTTTTAGTTATTATAATGACAATTGTAGGCAGCCATTGCCTTTCCAAACACATATCTCCTGGGTGGTGAAATACATTGCAATGCAGTGGATCGGGCCAGGGCTAACGTAGCAGCAATGAATGTAGATAGAAAACTGGACTTGATCCAATGGAATCTACTCCATCTACCTCTAAAGGATTCTTTTGTGGACATTTTCGTTACTGATATGGTACAATCATCCACAATTCAGGGCTGTTATAGACTGAAAATTCTACAATTGAGTTATTGATAAAATTTTTATAGCCTTTTGGTAAAAGAAGCGGATCTATAACGGATAATCGTGTGTTCTACAAGAAATGGCTCCTTGAGATGGGTCGTGTCTCAAAGTTAGGAAGTGGACGGCTCGTTTTACTTACAAAAGATCGACGAAGCATCGCAACGGTATTCTTGGAGTTTTTAATAATCTTTAACAGATAAGAACCGAAATATAATAAATAGAAATACTAAACCTAAATAATCTTTACCAATTCTAAATGTTTCCTAGGCACTGAAAATGTATGGAAAGTTATTTCGCGTGACGAAGACTCTTGGTGCTAATATCGGTGGACTTCAAGCTGCTGTTTACGTTTTACTTCGCACCAACATTAGTTGGGAAGATCACAAAACTGTAGAGCACGATGCTAAGCGAGTTAAAGTTCAAGAATAGTGACAACAAACCATTTTATAAAATTTCATTTGATGTAAAGGAAAAGAAAAGAATTGTATTTATTAATTAAATACTTTATTTTAATATTCAGTTGTGTATTTACGGTAGAATGTAAGACATGATGAGGAGAGCGAGGGTCAGTAACTTGCAGGGAAGAGGATATCTACTGGATTAAGGAAGGAGATATAACGTTCAGAATGGTGGAGGTATAGAACGTCATTGGAAAGCTTGAGGAAAGGGGAAGAACCTGGGGGTGACAAACAATCAAGGATCAAACGATTCAGAGATTGGGGATATATTGACAGGTCCGCGTATCATTGAAAGTTTAAAGAATGAAATAGAACACCAGAGCAGAAAAAATACTGGGGCAAGAATGAAATAAAGGGTAGGGGTAAGGATCAATGGGCGAGGATGCGATGTGGGAATGTCGGGAGCGCGGAAAATAATGGTTATAACGAGAGTTGTAGATTGTGATAGAGATAGAGAAAGTCTGTAGCACGTATGGAAATTTTGTTAATTTAAGAGAATGGTAAACGATGAATTAAAAGCAACACTGGTGGAATTGTTAGGAGAGGCCAATAGATGGAAGGAACTGTTGAGAGGAATAGTGATCTCGATAATGTGCGACTACTGCAGACAGTTTGAGAGAGATGAGAGAAACAAACAGAATGAATGATGAAGGGGAGGCTAAGTATGGGTATAAATGTAATGACAGGAGGGACAGGACTAAATCGTATGGACACATATAAGGAATAAGTTGTATGATTTTGTATTCTAAAGCCTGATAGGACAAGAAGTGGCTGAAATAAAACTGAACCATATGGTAGAATGGAATTGGTATTTGAATTTAATTGCAATTTTATAAGAAGAATTTCCTTCTGCTAGTTTCCATTGCGTGACGGCGACCTTGTATTATCCATTCATACTCCCCGTATTTACTGTCAAACGTGCCTTTTTGTATGGAACGTAATTTTAATGTGAACCGAGGACCAAGCTCACGGAGTTTCGGTTTGCCTGTTTTCATATTGAACTCATACCTGTTAAATAAAGGAAAAATGCCGGCAAATTGAAAAATAACAATATTTCTTATATCAGAACAAATGACATTTCTATTAATGATAACACTTGCCTATGATGTCTGAAAAATATGTAATCTCTCTGGTTGTGAAACGTAACTGCCCTTCTGCCACGAAACTCTGGCTCGTAGTGAAACAGAGCACCTAGCATTCTACTAACTGTGTGACCCAGTCGAGTTGTAAAGTTATTTAGTATCACCTCAGGACGGTGTTCTGTTATTTCTCTGTAGTTCTTTTTGAGTTCTGGTGTTATTTTTGGATTGCTCAATTTAAAATGAGCTGTAGGACCATCTGGTAAATGAACTAGTAGCAAGCCATCTGAAATGTAGCTAAGGAAATACTTTGAACATATAATTCCTTTATTCTAATTGAAGAAAATGCATATAACTGTTAGTATATAAATTGCAGGCTTGTATAATAAATAAGAATGTCTATACATTATTTCAAATTATTGTAAAGGATACTAGGTTGTTTCATATTTTCATTGATGACAATTATATCTGTAAAACCTCTGGCAATAGCACTCTTCACCATTTTCTTTACGCCTGATCTGTTTCTGTACAAGGATATAGAGTTTGGTATGATTCTTGTAAGTTCTCTACCAAAGATTCTGGTCTTTCTCAGTGGATTATCAGAGTAAGTAATAAGAACTTTGGGCTCGTAGCCATGCTTGTAATAAGAAGCAAATTCATCATGTTCCAAGTCAATCTTAATCTCCTCATTTTCCTCATCGTCTATGTCTCCTTGAACAACAGTCTCATCCTTTTCACGTAGGCTCTCAATAGTATGTGGTACTGCCTTGGGTAAACCACTCTTAATCCTCTCCTTTCTGGCTTCTTTTTTGGCCTTTGTCTTTTCCTTTTTCAACTTTAAATTTTTCTGGAGCCTCACTGCCTTACATTTTATATTGTTAAACTGATTGTGAGATGGGAACTTAACTTCCTGACTGATTTCTTCAGCGCCTTCAGATTCATTCTTAATATCAGCCTCTTCTTGAGATTTTTCACGGTATAAAGGATTCAACTTCAATTTCTTCTTCATTATTGTAGAGTTCAACTAATATGAAAGGTACTAAAATACGTGTTAAAAACTTCTTTAGCTTTGGAACTGTTGGATGCAGGTTACAAGTGACGCACGTGGAGTATAGATTTTCGCACCGCCTAGATTTTAGAATCTACCAGTGTCTCCATCTACTTAACTAATTATGATGCATTACAGTTTATTTATCAAATGATGACACTGTTTAATATTTCGTAGGTAACTGAATTAACAGTTGTGAAACTAGCAAGCAGCTAGAATTCGTGCTGTTTCTTTTTTAAAAACTGAACCTTTTTAACAATGCCTAAAAAATAGCAGATCGGGAGTAAACTTTCCTTCTGTATTACTTAAAAATTGGTACTAAACTTTCCATAAAAAATTAAATTAAATTATACGCACGTACCAAATTCTAGGTAAAATGTTCTGCGGCAGATGTTACTGACTACTTATTTAAAATAAGAGTAAGTAGATAAAATTAGAATAAGTTAATCCAAAAAACGGAACAGAAAAAATATGAGTGATTACTCCCAGGACTTTGGTCCCTTCTAAAAAACAGTAGTTAAAATTAGTTTTAGTCACGTTTTCCCAAACATCAACTTTATTTTATTGCCAAAGGAATAGATGGGAATGACGGCATCACAGGAATATCTTAAACAACATATAACACAGCTTAATTATAATTGCAATTTTTAACGTGTATTTATGTTCCTCAGAAATGAATACAGTGGTGTGTTTATAATATATTCGATTAATTAGCAGATGGTGCATCGTCACCCTAACGAGAAGACGGACGTCTCGCATTGTTTATCCAATATAAAGAAAAAAAAGAGACAGCCAATGATAGTAAAGAAAAAAAATTAAAAAAACCTCATTCGTCCATAATCAAATCGCGTATTCGATCGCCTTTGTAAAAAATACCATAATAACAAAAGGAATTAAAAAAAAAGAAGAGAAAAATAGATAAAAGAAACATGATTAAAGAGAAAAAGCACCGACCTAACAACCACAACTCGACGGGGCAACGACATCTCGTTGAGATTCCATTTTCCAAAGAGACAAATACAAAATTAAATGGCAGAGAAAAAGAAGACAAAGAAAAAGAAAGACGAAGATACGTAAAGAGAGACCAAGAAAAATAGTGTGTATGACTGTGTGTGTGTATCGACAAGAGCAGCGAGCGATGGAGCATATCGCGAATAGTAATAGCAATAAAAATAATAATATTAATAATATTAATAATAATAAAATCTGAAGGAAGTCGTGAATAGATTGTAACATGGCAAGCTCATTGAGCGCGTACCTTAACCCAAGTATATGCCTCGTTTACAATTGGCTGCAGTTACTCTGACCTCGTCGCAAATGCAATTGTCATTGTTGACGAGGCGCGGCAGAAAGGGAGAATTTCGATTAATTGTTTGAAGGCAAAAAATATGAGATCGAAACAAAAAAGAAGACAATCGTCATCAAAACGTTAGAGATGTTTCAATAAATGGCGCGTCACCACGATTTACCTTAATGTAAGACGAAAGAGTGATTGTAATTCTCATTTTTAACGAAGCTTTAATCTTTTTTTCGCTTTTTTTTTTCCCAAGAGCGAGATTCATCACCGAGTTCGATCGGCTATTTACGTAGACACAATATTTTTTCCTTATCTTCCTTTTTCTCTATATCTTTCCTATACATGCGCCACTCGACCGATCTGATCGGTCATTGTTACTTAAAAGAAAAATGTACGCAATACCACTAATAATTAGTTATAATAGTAAAATAATTAACGTACGGGCAATGTGAATTAAATGAATTAGCGTAAAACCGCCCAAAAACCAGGATTAGATTTTCGAATGAGAATGAAAAATGAGTCGCGAGCATATCTTTTTCAAAAATGCATAAGAAGGGCACAAAAACCCGAAATAAGCCAATGTGATTACGAAATACATTTTTCGTCTTACAGTAGAGGCAAGCGCGCTATGAGTGTGACCCTACCTACTACAAAAAAAAAAAGTTCGAACATAAAAATATGTTAGCGAAATATTTCAAGAATATAATAAAAAATAAAAACTATGAATATATATATATATATGTACTGTGTCATAATAAATATGCAATCCTGGGATAGTTTATGTACAAATCGGAATTGGATGAAATCGGCGATCGCACGTGCGCGACCGGCGCCGCGACGACAATAATTTAAATACATTATTCAAGTATGTATACGCGTATTTATTCTAGATAATCTACTTTACACTTACGTCGACTAACACCGGAGTTATGAAAAATATAATTATAAACCTTTGTGCAACAAAGCTCGTACCGCGCGAAACTTGTCGCGCGAGTATTTTTCTTTTCTTTCTTTTCTTCATTTTTTTTTTTTATTTGTACAATCAACTATATCGTGGACTTAACAACGTTTGATCTGATAAAAATAATAATAATTTACAAATAACTCTGTACAGATTACTTCTCGCTTCGTTAATAAATAAATGGTTCAGGATCGACGGCTCGTGCAATACGATTCTGGGAAACTTGCGAGACAACGACGAAGATGAGAAGAGAGAACGACAGGAAAAGAGAAAGAGAGAAGAAAGAAAAGATACGACGAGCCAAAATTTATCCTCCTCGTGGTTTCAAAGTTTATAACAATAGAGGAAAAACTCACTCTTCTTATCATGCATTTATGCCCTGACGAGCGGGCTCGATTGATTACATTTTCTTTGCTTTATCTTTCTTTCTTATATTTCTTCTTTTCTGTCTTTTTTTTTTTTTTTTTTTTTTTAAAAAA